TTAATAATTAACTGAAAAACAACCAAGTGAGTTGTTTCTAGAAGTTTCTAGAATAATGTAATACACATATTTTGACATTATTTAGAAAGAAATGATGTGTAGCTTTGAAAAAAATTGAGTAGTTTACGGAAATCACGTAAACTACCCTGGATCCACCCTTGGGTTAATATCTATTCAATAACAATGGGATAGAGGGTAATTAATAGGAATAAGCAGTGAAAGACAAAATAAAGAATATACTATGAAAATGTCAGTTAATTAAGAGTAATTGATTGAAAAGGTAATAAAGCTGTGATGCCCTTGAAAATTTAGATTTGTCCTTGAAAAGTCCTTGTTTTGGGGAGGGGGGGGGGGGGATCCAGCACAAACTCTAATAACTGTTATTTAGAATACCATTTTTTTCTGTTGTATAGCTTAGAGCTCAAAACACTGTTCTTAAGAAGGCAGTCATTGAAGAACAAGAAAAAACAAARACCTTACAGGTACTATGTAGATAGTATGAAGATTATCTCTAAATCCAGTTGCATAAAGAGTAGATTAAGAGTGGGAAATTAGTAGAAGATTAGCACTATCTGTTGGATAAATCCTATTCAGCGGATACATCTATTGGATAACAGCATTATTTTATCCGCTGGATAAGGATTTATCCAACAGATAGTGCTATCCACTCTTTGTGCAATCATCATTATGGGAAGCACTGGTGGCGTGTGCTGCTAATGCGCCACCTCTCACCAATGCGGCCCGAGTTGGAGTCCTGCCGATCTCGATGTCGTATGTGAGTAGAGTTGTTTCTTGGTTCTCTCCTGTGCTTCGAGGGTTTTCCTCCGGGTCCTCCGGTTTTCCTCCCTCCTCAAAAATCAACTTCTAAATTCTAATTTGATCTCTGGGCTTTCACTTAATTTGAAGCCTGCCTCTGTTGAGATTGTCCCACGCTGTGATACGACAGCGAAAAGCTTTGTAGATGCCTACTGTAGATGATAATACAGTATGGTAATCCAACAAGATATTAAATATATTTTCAAAATAAAAATTTAGATCTTAAATGCAATCATGGTGTTTTTATCCTTTCATCCTTATATTTTCTTTTCTTTTTGCATTTTATTTCTAAAAGGAAACAGCCAAGCAAAAAGACCAATCCATCAGAAAATACGAACAAGAGATTGACAGCTTACAGTTTAGAAATGATCAGGTATTCTTTGTCAGTCATTTATGTTGGTCACTTTAAAAAATATCCTTGAAGTATATACTATTTATTAAGATAATAACTCCCTTTATTTTATGAAATTTAATAATATGTTCTTCTCAGACCCTCATAACTCTTATAAATGCAGCCCTTAGAAAAAATGGTTTAAAGAAGGGAATGAATTTATCGATCTTAATTTATATGTCAAGTCCATGTTATGTCTAAATTTATAAATGTTATTTTAAATTTACTGTTATGATATATCAGAACTCTATCAAACTACCTCGCTAAACTAAATGTGCATGTATAAATATTGACTTTAACTAAATAAATAAATTCCAGCCTTCCTTGGTGGTTGGAGGGGATATGGATGTTTTTTGGAGCTACATAAAATATACCCTCCTCAGACACTACCCACCTCTTGGAAACACCCCTCTTATACCCTTCTCAGAGCCTCCCAATCCACAAGAAATTTTAGTCTCATTTTTCAAGGTATGAATATTTGTGAAAATAACTTGTTGAAGTCGAATGTCTTTCTTTGAAACCTAAGTTGTCTAAGAGAGTTGGAATACTCCAAGATGAACTGGATGAATCGGGAAGCAAGAACTGGAAATCTTGGGTAAGTGAGCATGAAAGAATAGGCCTTTTGCAACAACAGGTCACGTGACCCTACCCCCATAAAAAGAGACGTTGTGTCARAATGAACACCAGAAATCGAAAGAGCACCTCACTATTAGTAAGTAGACAAAGTTTTAGCTTATAATGCTGACTACAGTAGAAATGGCATTAAATATAAAATTGAATATTTTATAAGGATTTGTATGGGAAAATGTGCTGGCAGGCATAGCTTGCCCTCCAGGTCATTTTCCCATACAAATCCTTATAAAATATTCGATTTTGTATTTAATGCCATTTCTACTGTGTTACATGCTATAAGCTGAAACTTTGGCTTCTTACTAATTTCAAGGTGCTCTGTCCATTTCTTTTGTTCATTTTGAAACAACGTCCCTTTTTACGGAGGGGTAGGGTCACGTGACCTGTTGTTGCAAAAGGCCTAGATTATATTCTTGATGTGCTGTACAGATCAAATCCTGGACCCAGCATCACATCTGAATAGAGTTTGTTAACACTCTCCATTGATTTGAGGGTTTTTTGTCGGTTTTCCTCCCTCAACAAAACACGATAAATTCCAATTCGATCTGTTTGCCATGCCCTGACTTGGATCAGCCCAGAGGTTGTTTCAGGATACCAATAAAATTTTAAGGTTTTGAAAGCTGGACATCCACAGGAAAGAGGAGTCTACAAAACTTTGGATTATGGAACATTATAACATGCTAGGTTATGCAATATACTGTAGACTATAAAATTATGCAAGCATTATCCATTAGGTTAAAGCTATGCTGAGTTACCTGTGGTTCAGTAGACTATGGAACATTTTACCAATATGCTACATGTAGGTTATCCAATATACTGTAGACTTGTATGGGTGTTTATAGAATATTACATGTAGTTCAGCGATGATTGTTTTGTGTGTGTTTTTTGGTCTAAAAATTTATGTTGTATTTTTCTGTCCAGGCCAATCCAGCTCCATCACATTCATCTGTTGACAGTGATGTAAAAGAGGAAGAATTAAAAATTAAGATACAGGAAAATGAAAGGCTGCAAAGACAGGTCAGTTTGCAACTCATATGGCCTATATATGTACACGGTAACCGGTCTTTTTGAACCAAAGTCTTTTCGATCCAGGTCTTTTCGAACCAGGTCCAGGTCTTTTCGAACCACCTATATACACTTTTGATCCACCTATATAACTAAAGCATGTAACACGTCCTATATGCTGTGTACATAGTTAATTTAAAAGAGTATAGTTTAAAAAGTTGTCTTGAGCACCGAATAAAAGATTATGATCAAAAAAGAAATCAAAACTATGCGCATTGTACTATGAATTTGGCTGGGCATGATGACACATCGGTGTCATGCGGACTTTTTCAAACAAACGCCTTTAACCTGTCTTGAATAGTAGAAAATTGTTTTAGATTCTTGTTTATCGTACCTAATAACTGTATAAACATAAAGTGGAAATATCAGTGGCTAAGTTTAGCGTATGAAATGCTAACTGTTTTTGTAATCGATCAAATTGTTTTGGATTGAAATAATGAATTCAAAACGCCATTCAGTTCTGATTGATTAAGCTTACTTATGTGTTTCACATACTTGAATATTAAAGTTTTTTCCTAAAGTTAATCAACATCTAAATCAAAATGAAAACTGTTGACTTCTGAAACTATTTATTGATTAGTAAAAACTTATACAAACGGTTGAGATAAAAGAAACTCCACTTCTTAGCGTCCTTCGCAACCGAACAACAAACATTTGTTACAACGTTTTAACTCATTTGCCATGTGTTTCCCTTAATGTATTTGCCATGAGTTTAACATAAACATTACGGGAGAAAATAACTGTGTTTTTGTGCTCAAGATTTGGGCTTGAACAAGCAATATATTTCAATCAAATACACAAATCGGATAGAGTGACTCTAGTTTGCCGGTTTCATTAACGAGTTTCACATGTAACACTCTTGTTGTCACACATATTTTTGTTCGCGTCTTAAATTTTTAAMTCCTTCGCGATGTTTCCCCTACTTTATTTGCCGTGAGTTTAATATAAAATATATTATAAAATGCGTATATAAAACTTTTTTTGCTTAATAAGACTGGTTTTATGTTTATCATGAACTGCTTTTTCTAATGTATATGTATAAAATGTGTTGTGTTATGTATCGCTCCTTTAATTCGTGAATTGTTTTTTTCTTTATTCTTTTGTGATGTACGTTTCTCTGTTTTTATTCATTTGACAGGTATTTTTCTTGGATAATAAAAAAAAAGTTTTTGCAGAAAGATTTGGGCAAACAAGCAAATATTTCTAACATAAATCAGATAGTTTGCCGGTTTCATTGACAAGTTTCACATGTAACACGTCACACAACATCTATTCGTTCGCGTCTTTTACAGACTTTTTTTAACTTATTCGCGATGTTCACTCCCCTACTTTATTTGTTTGAAAGGTATTTTAAAGCATCTTGAATATAAAAACGTTTTTGAAGAAGATTCCAAAAATCAATAAATAACTCGTTACCAAATAGAAGATTTACCGGTTTCATTGACGAGTCAGTAACAACACACATGCTAATTGTCATACACGCTTGTCACACAACAGTAATCATTCGCTTCTAAAGTTTTGGACTTCTTCATAATATTCCTTCACTTTATTCAATAGGATATTCATGTAAATGAAGGAGAAAACATATTTTCTTGGCTAAAGACTTTACATTGGAAGTGACTATGGGGGCTAACTTATTGACTTCGTAAGCGATACTAACACATATCACACACGATCACACACGATACTTGGTTCACTCAGTTGATTAATTCACTTCTTCTGTGATATTTCTGTAATATTTCTGAAAGAAAACACTAAACATCTATAAAATATTTCACAACTATATTGGATCGAATGTGTATGTATGTGGATCGAAAGTGTATATAGGTGGTTCGAAAAGACCTGGACCTGGTTCGAAAAGACCTGGATCGAAAAGACTTTGGTTCGAAAAGACCGGTATTCTATATACACCTATTTCAAAAATGTTGTCAGTCGGAGATGTGAAATCTGAGAGTGAAAGGAATTGTGGGTTGCAAGCTGTAAATTGTTTGTGGTTTTAATTAGTAGTTCGCAAAAAGTTAATATCTTGATATATCAACTGTGAGTGATGACCTGCACTGGCAAACTGTCTGGGTAAGTGTATATTGATTTTTTTACGAAAAAACACTCAGTTCCCCACAATTCTAATCGGTCTCAGATTTCTGAATTCAGATATCCAACAAACAATGTTTTTTGAAATAGGTGTATATACACTAAGGCAGCTTTTCAGCAATCTGGGGTCTTGGATTATTGGATTTGGCATCACATACATAGAGTAGAATAGAGTTTATTTGTCATGTCTTTATTCAAGGGGTTTTTCCCCTCTGGTTCTCCAATTTTCCTTCCTATATAAATTAAACCTAACACTTTAAATTCCAAATTGATCTGTGAGTTCCCCGTGCCCTGACTTAGATCAGCCCAAAGGTTGTTTCAGGGTTCTATCTGTGAGTTAGCCATGCCCTGACTTAGATCAGCCCAGAGGTTGTTTTAGGGTTTGATCTGTGAATTAGCCATGCCCTGACTTAGATCATCCCAGAGGTTGTTTCAGGGTTCTATCTGTGAGTTAGCCATGCCCTGACTTAGATCAGCCCAGAGGTTGTTTCAGGGTTTGATCTGTGAGTTTGCCATGCCCTGACTTAGATCAGCCCAGAGGTTGTTTCAGGGTTCTATCTGTGAGTTTGTTGTGCCCTGACTTAGATCATCCAAGAGGTTGTTTTAGGGTTCTATCTGTGAGTTAGCCATGCCCTGACTTAGATCAGCCCAGAGGTTGTTTCAGGGTTCTATCTGTGAGTTCCCCGTGCCCTGATTTAGATCAGCCCAGAGGTTGTTTCAGGGTTTGATCTGTGAGTTAGCCTTGCCCTGACTTAGATCAGCCCAGAGGTTGTTTCAGGGTTCTATCTGTGAGTTCGCTGTGTTCTGACTTAGATCAGACCAAAGGTTGTTTTAGGGTTCTATCTGTGAGTTAGCCATGCCCTGACTTAGATCAGCCCAGAGGTTGTTTCAGGGTTCNTCTGTGAGTTAGCCATGCCCTGACTTAGATCAGCCCAGAGGTTGTTTCAGGGTTCTATCTGTGAGTTAGCCATGCCCTGACTTAGATCAGCCCAGAGGCCGTTTCAGGGTTCTATCTGTGAGTTCGCCTTGCCCTGATGTGGTTGTTTCAATAGCAATAAATTTTGAAGGTTTTTTTCATTCATAGCTGATATTCTTACATATTCTTTATTTGTAATGTGTAGTTGTTTGATGCATTACAAGAACATAAGGCCACTGTGTCCAGTTTGCAAGAGAGACTTAACATAGCAGAAAGGTAAAGCATGGGCAATTATCAATAGACTCTTATTGGGATATGAAATTACAGACCCAAGAAACAATATCAATATTAGTACTGTTTTGTGTACTCCATGGAAATATTTTGGTCTGTTCAACAGAAGTTCATCCAACCACCAAAAAGCAATAGATGAAGCATCAGACACCCATAGGATGGTGGTAGAGAAACTCCAGGAAGACAGGGCCTTGATGGAGGTACAGTACCAAATGATAGTGTCTTTGAGGCTTGTGCATTTGGACAGTAGTAATAAAGGTTTTGCACCATCACATGACGGCAGCCATGTTAGATGACAGGAACAATACAATTGTTTTACATGAAAAAGATTTTAGTTCCCAAGAGCAAATAGGTTTTATTCTTCTGCCATCTGACCACAGGCAGTCCAAGCTGTATTGTGGGCAAAGGCATGTGACGGAGCAAAACCCCTATTGTAAGTATTTTTGATCATTTCGAATGCATAAATTTTAAAAGTTATTAAGAGTTATGATCAATAGCCTTCATCAATATGAATAGCCAAACAAAATGTGACAACTTTGAGAATTTTTGCCGTCAAACCAAATACTTACAATTTTATTACAACTAAATTTACATGTTTACAAGATAAAGAGCCAAATCGTATCCAGTCAGTCCTAGTCAGTATAGGTAGTTTGTGCATTGTACATGTTGTATCAATTTTAATTATTTTATAATGTACATCACATTACTTTGTATGTTCCAAGTTTGGATCCAGTAGTTTTAGTTTTGTCTGTATTCATCGGTTAAGCCATAAACACATCACTTATGCCACATTTTTTATTTTAGGCAAAACTTCGCAAAACTGAAGAAGAACTCAGAACTTTAACTTTAAAAGCAGAAAAAAGGTTTGTGCCTTTTACTTGCGTAGAAGAATAAATGTCATTTAGGTTCATGGTTCAAATTTTGATAATGTTAGTCTGAATTTTTACTTGCTTTTCTCCTTGCAGCCAACAGAGGCTTAAACTCCTCAATAATGAAATATCTAGTAAATGTGGTAAGAAGACTAGCTGGGATTGTTTTGTGACGTCACTGTATTCATGAGATATTTATTTACATGTTTGTACAGTAGACCTTCATTTCATGCTGTGATATGTGTATTTTTGATTTTCCTTACCTTAGAAAATGTGTCCAAGATAGTTGCAGAGAAAATCCCCTTCAATGACACAAGTGAGACTTATTGATCGTTTTGTTTTGTACCAGCTTTTAAGCTGTTAAATAATGAAAGCTGTGTGACAGAATCAGCACCAACAAAAATCCACCAACACCATCAACAACTACAATTATAGTAACAGCAGCAGTAATAACAACAACAGTGTCACCAACAACACCAACAATATTTGCAACAACTTTAGAACCTAACAGTAACGACAGCAGCAACAAGTAGAGTAGTAACAGCTGCAGTAACAATAACTGCAGCAGTAATAACAAGAACAGTTGCAATAACAGCAACAGAAGTAACACCAAAAGTAGCAAAAACAACAGCAGCAGCATTATCACAAATGTAGCAACAGCAGCAGTAACAACAGTAACAGCAACAGAAACAACAGTAACAGCAGCGGCAACAACAACAGCAGCAACAACTACAACAGCAGCAGCAGCACTAACAGGTACAACAGCAGCAGCAGCACTAACAGCAGCAACAACTACAACAGCAGCAGCAGCGACAGCTCAGTAATAACAGCAGAGCATTGCAACATAGCCACAATACTACAGATGACTCATGGCCAATAGGAGAATACAAATTAAAGAAATGTCACTTTTATCACTGGAATAAGGCATTTATTTTGTATTTCCCTGTGAGCTGCCAACTCAAGTTTTTAAGGGATACTGTGTATAGATCAGTATACTAGGAAGTACTGTAGTCAATTGAGAACTTTTTCTTTTTGTTAGGTAACAAAGAACTCAACAGTTTAAATGTCCCAACACATGACAGGAAACATCAAGTAGGTTTATCAACCAGCTAGAGTATAAAGTTACTGAGAAAAAAAATGATCACGAGCTGCCAAGGGATAAGTGCAACAACAGTGATTACAAGGAGTGGGCTAATTTATTATTAGTTGTATCTAGTGATAACATTTGAGTCAAAATTTTGCAAATATTTCCATAAAATTAAAAAGTGTTCTCATTATTTTCTTTGCCATATGTAGTTACTAGCTGGTGGGATCTTGTTGTATGAAGGTAGTTTATATCCCTTATAAGTGTTTTGTTGCTTACTTCAGGTTAAGTCCAAGGAATTAATAGGTTTAGCTGCGGATTTGATCAAGGAATTCACATCTGCATTGTCTAATCTACACACATACACTGAACAGGTTTGTTTGTGTTTATCATAAGTACTATATAAAATGGAGGGAGGGTTGGACAAATGGATGGATGAATGAATGAATGAATGATAATTATTTAATTACTTATTGTTTGCATAATTTTCTTTTAGAGAATCAAGACATTTTATGTAGAATCCACACAAGAGCAGCTAAGTGCTCAAACCCAAAAGGTACTACTCCACAGCCTCATGCTTACCTGACCAGGGGAACTTGGAAATCATTAGATATTTTCCAAAAGTTTTTCAGAAAAAAACTTGTGAGAACCATGCAATAGTTTTGTGCTGCTGTAAATGCTTTTGTAATGCTACAATTCTTTGTGCAGTTGAATTTTTTCTTTTTTAAATATATACATCAACTTTATTTTGAGAGGGTGAGACATGACAGACACAAATGATAAACTTGTGGCCCTCTAGATTCTAAATGTCTCTGAATGAGAGGAAACTGTTATTTAACCTGGTCATCTACATATAAACCATGGCAAAGGTCTAACCATTTAGAGCAAAGGCAGCACCTTCTATGCAGACATTTTAAGGTCCTGAGTGTTGGTGTGGCTGTTTATATCCGATTTTTCCTTTCTGAAGTTTTGCAGCTACTTACATGAAAATGCTACAGTGCTTCGTGCGGTGGAACATTCATTCTCCTCATTTTACAAGGAATTAAAAACAGATTCCCTCATCACGCTGGTAAGAAAAAATGTGATAATGATATACTAGAATTAAAAAATCCTTTAGCTCCGTTTACCAATAATTGTAAGGGCAAATTCAAATGCCATTTGTATATGAGATGCTGTTGATTAATGAGTTAAAGCCTTCACTCAATATGCAATCAGCCTCTCTCAAAGCCAAAGTGTTTGTCCCATAGGACATTATCTCTAACATTCCACTTATCAATGTATTGTAGTATTGTTATTATAATAATGAAGTATGCTGTACATAAATTATAGATCCCTTGCCGTGTTATCTACAAGCACTCTTGATAATGACACCAGCGAGTGTCGAAATGTTGAGAAAACTTGTTGTCATAAATTTATTTATAAATGTTTACCAGTTTAGTTAACCTGTTATAGTGAGGCCCTCCTTGAACCTCCTGGGGAATAGGGGAAAAGATTTGTTTAGCTGAACACGGAAAAGGCTGGGGGGTACTCCACCAGAATTTGGGTAGGGGTGTTCCGCTGGGATTCTGAAAGGAGTACCCTGTTTATGATAAAAAAACTCAAATTTGTGGACCCTGTTTATGACAAAAGGTATAATTTATTGCACTGAGTTCCCGTTTCAATTATCATGTCATCTCGCATATCGTTTTTTTATGACCATAATAACAAGTTTTGGTCAATACGGAAGTAGAATCCCTGAATATGACAGGAAACTCAGGAGGAGCTTGGAACTTGAGTGAAATTACATACCCTGTTTATGACAAGGAGCTCGAAAAACCATATCCTGTTTAGCGGATCATCCCTGTATAGTCCATATCCAGGGGAAAAGGTTTGAAATATCAGAGATTTTTGAGATGTCCAGGGTAAAATATTGTAGTGGTGCAAGTTCATAGGTTGAGACCAGAGCTTAAAGTAATGACTGATCAGTCGCTGGTTGTGATCACAGGCTAAATTAGTTTTACATAGCTTAGTCATACCTTATTTCTGGCTAACAAAATGACCGGCAAGGCAACAATTCGATCAGGCAAGTCTCAGTTCTGGCCAGACATTGCTGATGTCTGGCTGTTATTTTAGGCTCTGGAGACAGAGACACCAAGTTCAAGAAAATGGGAGGTTCGATATTCGGGATTTGAGATAACAGGAAGTCCTTCATACTGTAGATGTTCATGGAATTATTTCATTTCCTTTGTTAGGAGACTGTGAGTGGATTAAAGGGATTTTCTGATGCGTTTCATTGTTACGTGATGTATTTAGCAAAACTAATGCTTTATTACTTTCTGAGGTGAGTCATTGAATTTGCTGAATGTGGTAAAAGACAGTAAAATAATTGATAAGTAACTGATTAGCTCAGGGTTATAGCATGTACTGTAGTTGTTATATTACCAAGTATAGAGAAGTTTTTGCACAACATGGGAAACCATAGAAAAAATTGTCGTAGTGGTACTGTATTTTTGCTGTAACCATAAATTTATACTTACATACATGTATATTGTGATTTGCTAAAACAATGGGAAGCCATGCTCTCTTTCTGCATTTCCAGCACTTGCATATATATTCAGTACCTTTAGGCTTTATGGTTGTAATACCATTTTGTGAGGCTGCATTCACCAGTAGCTTTGGTACTAAACTACCATTTCATCGTTGCAGCATTTGGTACCATGTACAACATGTACATGCTGTTAGTCAGTACAATATGTTTCCCACTCACATGGAAACCAATCTAATCCACTTTCTAGCAGACTGTACAATCTAGTATTAACTGAATCCAAATAGAGTCAATAATAAAAATGATAAATATTGAACGTGGTATAGGAAAAAGAGTGTTCACTCTACTAATGTAAGCTTATTGGAGTCAATAAAACCTAAAAAGGTTAAAAAATTACAAGAGAGGACAAATGCTAGTACGTAGACGCCTTGCACTAATGAAAAATATTAACAACTACAGGACTTCAGTTCTCAAGAGAAAAGAATTCTTTTGTTTTGACCCTCGAATTGGGGATGTATTATGCGATAGCATAAGGTTTTATTGAAATCTTTATGTAATCTCTGCTACTGAAAAGTAATTTTCCCTGTCTTTTTCTTCTGATAGTACTGAAGAAGAATGCAAGAGTTCAACTTGTTCTCAAACACTAGAGGGGTATAATAGACAAGTAGTCTCAGCAACAGCTGGTATGGTGAGGATATTCACCAAAGTGGACAGCTATGTACAGGCATTAGCCTCGGCAAGTAAGTTGAAAAATGAAAAATGTGGAACCTGAAATAACCTCTGGGCTGATCAAAGTCAGGGCATGGCTAAGTCACACATCAAACCCTGAAACAACCTCTGAGCTGATCTAACTCAGGGCATGGCTAAGTTACACATCAAACCCTGAAACAGCCTCTAGGCTGAAGGCTGATCTAAGTCAGGGCATGGCTAATTCACAGATCAAACCCTGAAACAACCTCTGGGCTGATCTAAGTCAGGGCATGGCTAAGTCACACATCAAACCCTGAAACAGCCTCTAGGCTGAAGGCTGATCTAAGTCAGGGCATGGCTAATTCACAGATAGAACCCTGAAACAACCTCTTGGATGATCTAAGTCAGGGCACGGCTAACTCGCAGATCAAACCCTGAAACAACCTCTTGGATGATCTAAGTCAGGGC